TTTTGGTTTAAAAAACGCACCTTCTGAGTTTCAGAAAATTATGAATGATATTTTTAATCCCTATATGGATTTCATTATTGTATACATTGATGATATTCTTGTTTATTCTAAAACTTTAGAATCTCATATCAAGCATCTTGATATTTTTAAAAATATTGTTATCCAAAATGGTTTAGTTATATCTAAAACCAAAATGAGTCTTTTCCAGACCGATGTAAGGTTTCTGGGTCATCAAATTTGCAAGGGGAGAATTACTCCAATTCAAAGATCCATAGATTTTGCATCGAAATTTCCTGATGAAATCATTGATAAAACTATGCTACAAAGATTTTTGGGCAGCATAAATTATATTTCACCTTTTTACAAAAATTTATCTAAAGATCTTGCTCCTCTGACAGATAGGTTGAAGAAAGGCACAATGTTACCTTGGAATGAAGATCTTACTAAGTTGATTGAAACCATTAAGCAAAGAGTTAAAGTTTTACCTTGTCTTACTCTTGCTAACCCTAATTGGATTAAAATCATTGAGACAGAAGCGTCTAACATTGGTTATGGTGGGATTTTAAAGCAGGTTAATTCTAATGACAAAATAGAATACCATGTTAGATTTCATTCAGGCAAATGGTCTGATTCACAGCGAAAATATGCGACTGTGGCTCATGAAATGCTTTGTGTGGTTAAATGTGTATTAAAATTCCAAGATGACTTATATAATCAAAAATTTATTATAAGAACTGATGCTCAGTCAATTAAGTATATGTTTGATAAAGACTTCAAGCACGATATATCAAAATTAATGTTTGCTAGGTGGCAAGCACAGTTAGCTCCTTTTGATTTTGAAATTCATTATAAAAAGGGAAGTGATAACTCTCTTCCTGATTTCTTATCCAGAGAATTTCTAAATAATTAAAATGTCTCCTTATAGTTTTGTATTTGGAAATAAGACTCTTATTACAATTTTTATAGCTTTACAGTCATTAAGTACAGATTTAAAAGAAACTATTATTGATAGAATATTTGATAGTATTCTAATGGAAGATTTCCTCCATGATTATGAAACTGTTTCCCTAGATGATAATAATTGGGATTATGACATCGAAGGATATTTTGATAATTATTAAAGTTTGTTCGTCTTTCCAGGATGGCGGGAGGTAATGAACCTCCATGGTCACATATTCATGGTCGAGGAGGAAGAAACAACAGGGGTAGAGGAAGATCATCCTCTTACCAATCTACAAGGTCGTCATACGACTCTTCTTACCCAGTTATACGACATGGACACAAAACCTTGATTAAATCAAAAGTTGGAGAAGCTTCTTCATCAGCTTCATCTACATTAAATCTTAAGGATATTCCGAAAGAAAGTTCATTATATGAACAAATTCAAGCATATCTGCAAACAAAAGAGCAAAGTTATACTTTTGCCTCTATAGCCAAAGAAACTGACCCTGTCAGTAATCCAGAAGAAATGGATAAAAAAGAAATTATATTTCTTTTGGAAAATTCTGATATTCAGAGAAAAAATGAGCCCTGGAATATAGTCTAGAGATATCTCACGAAAAGATTATATTTTCCTGGCGAGACATATAAGTCTCGAACTTACTATGAATCTATTCTCAGTAATACTAAAAGTGCAGAATTCCAGCACTTTTCTGATTTTGATAATATTATTTATAATTTCTCCAAGATAACATTCAAGCAGATTATATCAGCTGAAGATTGGGGAATCTCCACTCTTCAAGAAAAACAAGTTATGGTTAATAGGGTAAATATGAGTTTTACCTACTGGGATTATATCCAAGCTTTTAACAAAGTTTTTTATTATAATAATTATAAGCAAAAGCACACTTGGTTTGTAAAAATATGTGCTAAGGTTTTTTCCAAAGATTTACCAAACTGGTTTTTAAATTGGTGGTCTTTCCATGACCAACGGTAAAGATTTTACCAGATAACTTTTTTATTCTTTATAAGGAATGGGCAAAAGTTTCCCCATTTATTACAAACTTATTTTTACAAGATCATGTTTCATGTATTGACAAGATAGATCAGATGTATTTTTTTTTATAGAATTCTCAATTCATTGGATCCATAAATGGACTCCAGAAATGGGCTATACCCCAGGAGAAAACATCCCTTGCTTATACATAAAGTATTTTACAAATTTTTGGGACAAATTAAATCGTAAGGATCCAGCGACAGGCAAATTATATGGACAAGAACTTCTGGATCAGATCAGCAACACTATAAAAATTTATCAAGAAATTCCACAAAAGGATATTTCTGCAGAAGGTTCAGTAAAGCATATTGCTAAAAGAATTTCAATCCAAGAAGGAAATAAAGAAGAATTAATAAATAAATATTTGGCCGAAATTAAAAGGAATCTGCTAACAGATATTGCAGAATTTGATAAATCAGACACTTCTATAAGAAGTGGTCAAAGCGATACAGCTGATGAACAGTCTGTAGATCAAAACTGCGAGCTATCAGAAGGACAATTGCAACAAGTGGAAGAATTCCTAGCATCTATGAAGGAACAGGAACACACAATAAAGAAGAACCTTAAAGGAAAAGATAAGATTTAAAATCTTATCGAAAATCATATCTTTTAACTGTTTAAAACAGTATGTAGGGCCCATATGAGGACCCCCTCTTTACTTTTATTATATAAGAAGCCTTACTTAGAGGCAGAAGTAAGTTTAGATTTGGAAGTTCGTAGTTTTCTCTCTCTTCTCTCCTTCCTTTGTATCGTTTTGAACGATGTTGCTTCTTATGATATCTTTCCTTAGTTTGATCCGTCTTTTGTACACAGTTTGGTATAGAAGGACCGTCTAGTTCCAAGCAAAAGACGGATCAAACTAAGGAAATGGATTTTTAGTAAATAATGAAAGAGTAATATATATATATATATATATATATATATATATATATTA